TTGTCTGAGATATCCTTCCTGCTTCTTTCCAATGTAGATAGTCTGCGATATTCAGGTCCTTTTCTTGATCCTGTCTCATATATCCTGCTGTCCATTTATCATCTGTCATAAGTCTCATTTGTATGGCATAGGCGAATCCTTCTTGGCGCCCAACTCCAACGCTCCTCATCTCATGTTTATCTTTCGGTCTTGGCTTGCCTGTATTTTGGTCTGTCTCATTTGTTTCAATGCCTTTTGACGATACTTTTCGTGACCCAAGAACTCTACTTCTTCCTGGAACAGAGCACTTTTTGAGGTTCAGTTTGAGGTTGGCATTTCTGAACCGTTGGAAAACTTCTCGCAGATCACGCAGATGTTCCTCGAAGTTCCTTCCCATCACTAACACATCGTCGAGATACACCAGGGAAGTTTTCCAAGTAAGCCCACGTAGTACCAGTTCCATGAGCCTTTCAAATGTCGCCGAAGCATTACATAGTCCAAAGGGCGGCATTACAGTGAAGTGGTATAGAGTCCACTGCCAGTGGTGAACGCTGTATTTTCCTAGTCCTCTTCATGTATGCCGACTTGTCTGTATCCACTATTCAGATCTAGTATTGAGAACCATCGTGACCCCGTTAATGCTGTAAGGCTATCGTCGATTCTGGGTTAAGGGTAGCTGTCCTTGGTGGCGTCAATGAGTTTCCTATAATCCACACAAAATCTTGACGGTCCATCATTCTTGGAAACCAATACAACTAGTGCAGACTAAGGGCTTGATGATTCTCTGATCACTCTTTCTTGCTGCATTTTCTCAACAAGGTGTTCCACCTCTTGTTGCTCTGCAAATGGCAATCTTTCCGGTGGTTGCCTGATTAGATGAGCCACTGGCCTATTCTATGCTTCACCAAGTTGATCCGACCTTCACCTGCTGACTCGAAGATGTCACTCTCAGCAGTTATGAATGCCTTAGCAGCCTCATATTCATTGATAAGTGATAAGTGCTCCAAGAATGTTCCCCGGCCCGGTGGTCGAGAGCGCGAAGGCGCTGAGTTCGTATGTGGACTCCCACCGAGGCATGGGTTCGAATCCCAGTTAGGCCATGGATGTTTGTAAATGTATGCTTTCCTAACCCCGCACAAGTTTGGACTTATGGGGCGTTGGATCCAGTGCTGGGCCCAACGAGGAAATGCAATTGAAAAAAAAAATAATCCCTTGATGTTCTCCCAAGATCCTCTCCAGTCCTGGTCACAGATTTGTTAATCTGTGTCCTGGTTATCACCTAAGCTACACCCATTTCACAGGTCCACAAGTTGCAATAACTGCATCTTATTTCACTGTTGTTTCAGTGGAAAACACGTTGGCAACTCTCACGGGGATGTCTAAATTCATTGTAACTAAGGCTCGTGCAAGTATTTATTTGTCTTGGGATTCTTGATATGGTTGTACGCGAACCTAGGATCCTTTTCTAAACGGGCATAGACGATCTTCTCGGAAAATCCAGGAATTCTTACAGTCTTGACAACTCGCAATTTCACTGATAGATCTTTTCATGCTGGTGTCGTCACAACAAATTCTTTTCCACCGAAGGTCATCGTTTCCTGTTCACTTTCAAATGAGAACCCATAATCACTTATCAAGTCCATTCCAAGAAAGAGTTCATATTCAATATCTGCGACGATGTTGAGTCTTTGAAGAATCAACGTAATATCAGCTTCTCCTCGAATCGGCACATTTTCCTCAGTGACAGTGCGGATAACCCAGTTCGAAGAGGTCGGTTTCACACATTCTGGACGAAGGATGTCACTACGTACCAAGGAGGCTGTTGTACCGGTGTCTATGGTGCATATAACATCCTCTCGATTCACTTTCCTTTTAATGGTGAGGCTGTTTGGAAGATAGTCTCATTCGGTTGACTTGAATGATCCTGGGGGCTTCGTTGTTGCTAGCCAGCATGCGCCCTGATATGCTGGCTAATTTCAGTTTGATTCCTTGAGGACTCACTAGATGATCTAATCCTCGTCCTGTTTTTTGCAGGTGAATAGAATATTGACGCTTTTATCACGCGTCTACCTGGCCTTCCTTATCCCAATTTATCACGTGATGAACTAAGCTCTAGAACTAGAAAGTAGAAGGAATATGTTTTTCAACCATGTAGGATCGCGGCACATTTCACACTGAAGGTGCATTAATGAAATAGATTTGAGATATTCTGGCAGGTGGATAAAAAGAGTCAGCGTGTTACTAAGAAAGATATATGGTTTTCCAACCCCCTAGAAAAATACAATACATGCAGTTCTTCAGGTTGAAGTAATCGACATCTTGCATGGCCGTAGCAGAGATACAAGAGGTGAAAGAGGGACAAAAGCAGAAGATCTACACCTAATCGGATAGTTAGGCGGTGGCTATCTGTCATCCCAAACCAAGCTCAGCTTTGGTGCAGGAATGAGGCGATACTCTTGGAAGCTGAACTGAAGGAACTCAAACTAGAATGGGTGTGGGGAGTGGAAGCTGCATTGGTAACCCACTCAGCGCAGAGACTTATTCCATCTCAGAGAAATCATGAGGGACAACTTGAATATCATGAAAGAGAGAGAAGTGCTACTTATTATTTCAGTACCTATGTAATTTATATTCCCTACTAGCTGACCTGGCAAAAGCTGTTTTGCCATAAACATAATTTCTAGAAAATATTTTTTCATTTAGGTATAAGAGTATTTATCAACACACTTTTATAATTTCATTTCCTACTTCTTTTCAGTTTGGCTATCCATAATAAAAGCATGTATCTTCAGTTTTCCGAAGTTTTTATGATTTGGCTATTTATAAAGGCCTGTTGCATTATAATTTCTCAAACAACTATTCGTTAAAAAGCTCTTTCAACATATATTGGATCCGCCATCTTGAATTTCCCAATTTTGTCGAAAGAATCATAATCTCTAATTCCGAAAACCTCCAGATACCAATTTTGAATAGAATCGGATCATAATAATTTGAAAACTCGTCCGCCATATTGGATCTGCCATATTGAAATTCCCAATTTTGGCGAAAGAATCATATTCTCCCACTCCGAAAACCCCCAGATACCAATTCTGAATAAAATCGGATTACAAAACTCGTCCACCATATTTAATTTTAAATTCAAAAAATAGCTCACGACCGATTCCAACTGCAAAAAATGCATGAAACTAGTCGTTGATTTTTGCATGTATTACAATACAACTGTTATTGCAATTTGTTATACTGCACCGAAATAGGTATAAAAATGTTTTATCAAAATGTGATTTGACTGAAATGATTCATCGATAAGTGACACATAAATATTTTTCAGAAAAAAATATGTTTCTCTAGTATGTGGGACTCATTGTGAATAGTTTTGACCACATCTCATTTATCCACGAGGTAAAACAAAATAACAATATATGAATTTCGACATGCATTTTCGAAAAAATTATTTGACATCAAGATTGCACTCGCTTTGACCAGTTGAACTAGAATATTCAAAAATATACAGAGTGTTATATTTGAAAAAACAAAGTTGCTGGCATTTCCGGAAAAATCGGAAGTTCGCCATATTTTAGATTGAAAAGTGATCAATTCCGAAATGGTTGCTCATATAACTGTACCGAATTTCAGAAAAATCCGTTCGCGAATGCAGAAGTTACAGGGATGGCCCGATACCCTGTGTCACCCGGTATATAAGATAACATTATCGTTGATTGATCTCTGCCCAGCGTAAGCGTAATATATCAATCAACGACATTATCCATCTAGAGACAGCAAAGAGACAGAGCGCAACAAATAATTCGTGTAATTTACAGAACATGTCCGGCTGAGAGTGAGAGCTTGATTCTGAAAGGCAAGAAAGTAATAAGTGAAGGGCGTCAAATATAGAATTGAATTGTTTGTGGCACGCCTTTATAGAAGCGAAAGGGGTTAGACGTGGACTAGACGTGACACATCACTATGCAACCAACAATACATTCCATTTCATTTGAGTTCAGAAAGAAACGAAATTTGCAAACATAATTTTTTTTGTACATATTTTTCGCCAGATTAGATATACCTACCAAACATTCTACCACCTTAATAGGCCAAAGGTCTCGGGACTGAATACTACTACCACAGATCTACTACCACTAATTTTTTGTTTTGAAGTGATTGAATGAAAAAAAATACTGTGAAAGGAATCTTCGATGTATGCATTTACTATTGAGACCGATAGTGATAAAAAAATCCTGTAGTCTTGCTGACCAAATCGAATTTACCGCCTTATTAGCACATTAGCTGTGCCTCGATAGTCGGTGCCGGCTTCTGAGGTCCGAGACAGAGACCCAGGATTCCCAGGAACTCGTGGCTGGCACCTGGCACCATCTTGGCGCAACGAAATTAGCTGTAAATTGGGAAAAGGAAAAGGACGTGATTCAATATTGTAATTTCAAATTGATGAAGAAAAATGCTGTGTGAAAACTGAATTCCTCCTCTTTACCTCTTCGTGCATCATCTAACATTTTTTTCAACTGAGTTTAATCGAGTGATAACTTTTCGGGCACATGTTCATTCGCTCGCAAAAACCAAGGTCCCAGACGGCACCGGCACCCATCGAGTGTCCAAAAGAAGGATACCAAAGTACACAGTGAGCTAAAGTGAGAAGTAAGGATACGTGCTGACGGTGAAAGTAAAAGTGAAAGATTGCAACCTATGGATACGTCAAAAATAAATTTTCAGTATTCTCAGATATTCTCCTCATCGTTCAATGCAAACTTCAACCACATCGACAATGATAGGTAATTTCATTGGGAACTGAAGAAAATAATGAAGGTAATGAAGAACAGTGCAGCAATAATTCTCATTTACCCGTCACCAATCAGACTACGTGACGCGTGACGCGAAAAACAAAAAAGCTGCATTGGGAACTCACGTTTTTTCTGTGCTGTGCTACTACCATAGAGAAATGTCTACTACTATTACTATTAACTATTAGCCGTACGGACGGTCGTACTCCTACACATAACTCTGACTAGTCTGACTCCTGCCGGAACAGTAGACACAAGCATATTCCATGTATTTTTATTTATGTTGTTAATGTATGAGAAACACCATAAAAACAATAAAACTCTAATTCTCTAATGTTGATAATCATGCTGTGACTCACCATGTTCTCACAATCAATACCAATTTGAAATTTACAGAGAATTATTCATCAAAAACAGAAACTAGGTATGGCGGAAGAACACAGTAGCGAAGATTCTGATTTAGAAAATCACATTGAACTAGCTGGCATATTGAGCAAGTGGACGAATTATATCCATGGATGGCAAGACAGGTATATAGTTTTGCAAAACGGTACACTTTCGTACTATAAAAGTGAACAGGAGCGAGGATATGGCTGCAGAGGGGCATTATCCTTGGCCAAAGCAGTTATCAAAGTATGTGATTCCGTTGACGATTTATGTAATTGTTCATCAAATGTGGCCTTGTGTTACTATTCTTTTTGTTTCAGCCTCATGAATTTGATGAATGCCGATTTGATGTCTCAGTAAATGATTGTGTTTGGTACCTTCGAGCTGATTCAATTGAAAGCAAGCAGAGCTGGGTAGAGGCCTTAGAATCATATAGGGTATGTCAATAACTAACAACAGAAACTATACTGAGGCTGTTGAAAGGGTGTAATAGAATCAAATTCTGAGTAATCTATATTCTGATCAACCCTTAAATGGTATCAAATTATATTCAATAGGTACCTACTTCAATATGAACACATTCAAGAATAGCCCCATGAATGAGAAAGGCTCAGAGAAAGGTGTTGATGAAAACCTGAGTGTGTTTTTTTTTGTAAAATTGGCATACCTACTGATTGATTTTTTGATCAATTCACATGTTGCTCTACATAGTACAATCATTCCATGTTATCACTATTATTAGTAGGGGTAGAATTCATCAAGTGATTGGTATACCAAGAGCCCAGAAAGCACAAGTCTATAAAGGTCCTAGAATATTTACATAGAACATTTGAATAATCTCAAAATGTTCATGCAAGATGTGCTGACTGTGAGGTTGAATGTTCTGAAAATTATCTAGGAACATAAAAATCAATCAAACATAATATTCCCAGAAGGTCCTAAGCATATTTGTAAAACACTCAGGATATTCTGAGAATCACCCTAGCATATATGAGCAAGAAAATACAAACATATTTTGTGGATTTTCTTAGTATACTTTCAATAATCAAGAATTTTCACAGAATATTTAAAAACAAAATAACTACAATGAACAACCAGTGAATATCCATAACTCATACAATACATGGACATCTAATGGATGACCAATGGATATCCAAGCAGAATATTTTGGATATCCAAGGGATGCCCACTTATCAATTGAAGGTTATGTCATCCAGTAGATATTCTTGGACCACAAATTACACCATGTGATTGTAGGAGTAGATATTTCACTTAAAAGAGCTACTCTGTTAACAAAACATCTTATTAATTAAAAAAAAATTATTGGAAATTATATCATTTGTGAAGATTTTAACATATTTCCTCCTATTTCAGGTAGAATCTGGTTATGGAACAGGCTCTGAAAATAGCCTGAAGAGACATGGTTCTACTGTTAGTTTGCAGTCTAATAGTTACAGTACAGCTTCTGGTAGTAGCTTTAAAAAATCTTCCAGAAATATCAAAGAAAAACTGGCAGAGATTGAGACATTCAAAGATATACTAGTGAGACAGATTGATACCTTGCAAACCTACTTTGATTATTGTGTTGAGAATAATGCTGGGAGTCAGTTGCCAGATTCAGGTTAGTAGATAGTGAGAAGAAAGAATAGAGATAATAAGAAAAATCTATGGAAATTAGAAAATTTAAACTTATTAGACATTTGGAGAGTCCTCAGGAGCTACTGGAGTTTAAATAAGATCTCAAACATTTCTACTTTGCTAATAAAATAGTATTAAATAATATAATATTTTATCTACCACATAGGTGGTTTTTGGTAAATATCAATGCTACAGTGAGACCTATGAAAAAATATTCAATAAAAAGTGTGGATTTTGTTATTCTCTATAATAATAGTGATTTTAGTTTTTTTCCATAAGAATCTCAGTTTTTGAGTAATTGTCTAATATTACTGCCAAGTTATTACCAAAATACCTAAAATAGCTCTATCCTATATTTTTGTCTACAGTGTGGAGACTTCAACTGTAATAAATTCAATAGCAGGGCAGTGAATATTTTTTCTAAAAATTCCTGTCATGGCAATGATTCAATGTATTTACCTACCTTCTGGGTAGCTGAAACCACCATCAACATGATTTCTCAAAATGTAACCCAATGGCTTTTGACCCATCATTGGAAAGCTGGTGGAAAGAGGAATCCAGCATACAAGTCAAATTTCAGTACTTCATATGTTTAAAGGTTGCATAAAATTGGAATGTAATTCTAATTTTTTTTTCAACTTATCCATCAATATTTGTGTTTAACAATTGATGACAATTTTTTGCCACAACTGCTATCTGCTATTGTGTTTTTATAGAGCTATTCACAGTTTGAAAGGAAGTGTTACAAACTGGTGGAGATACCCTATATCACTGTCACTGAAAGTCAAAATTTTGATTTTATGCTATTCCCAAAAGTACTGCAAACTGGAATATGATCATGATATGATTCCTCTTTCAACCAGCTTCCCAATAAGTGGTCTCAAACCATAGGGTTGCATATGAATAAAACATGTTGGGGTTGATTCCAGCTACCACTGGAGGGTTATGTTCTCCATATTGCTTGCTAAATGTAGTTAAAGGCTCCATGCTGTATATCATATGGATTTGATCATTGTGGCAACAAACTTCGTTTTTGAGAAAATAATACTAGTGAGGATGGGATCAAATAATCCAGTATGCGGTACTGAATGTAGTTGCAGATAATATCACCCATAAATTTCGTGGGACAATTCCACCATGTGATTTTGGGAATATTTTTTGTAAAATTCTGAAAGATTCAGCTGCTTGGTATTGAATATTCATTAAATCATTATTTTGAGAAGTTCCTGGTAGGGGCATACCCTTGTATGCTCTAACATTTTTGTTGGTCAAAAATTTTTCAGGTTTGTTATTCAGTTGGTTATCTTGGTTGTTATACAAAGGAACCTAAAAATGAAGTGATGAGTATTCTATTTCAATACTTCACCAAATTAACACTTTTTCCGGCTGCCCAGGCTGATTTTTATTTTTGAAAAAGGTCCTGTCTCATGAGCTCATTATAAGGCATTGAGGGCTTACATTTTCAGTATCACCAGTTGGCGTTACTGGAGCATGAGTTCTATGTCAAAATCTAACGTCCAACAATTTTGTCAAATTTCCCTGAAGGCTAGCATTTTCTTTGGAGAATTCAAAGAAAATCATGTGGTTTATGTAAACTTGAGAAAACTGCATTAAGAATAATGCATAATATGAATTTCAAACTGGGGGAAAACAAACTGTTGTCTATGAATAAAGTGCATAGACTACATTGCATTCAGCTTGCTGTAGCTGTAGTCAAACTTGTCAATGACATAAAGTGTTGGCATTGTTGGTAGTGATGATGGTTGAGTTGGTTAATTTTTTTACATTAATATATTTTCATTAGTTTAGTGAACAGTGAACGGGTGAAGAATTGGAGTTAGTTGAAACAATTCAAACTAATTATGACCAGCAAATCAATTGACAAATAAAAGAACAGCTACAAAATGTTTACAATACCCAGATTGTCCTGCTTTGCATGAGCAAATACAAATCCATTGTTCTACAGGAGTTCCTCTGGATCCCAACTTCAATTTTACTTCATGTGGGGAAGATTTCATCGCCGAAGTTTGTAGACAAAGTGCAAAAATGTGCCTTTTGTTGAAGTCTTCTGCCTCACACAAAATCACATGATTAGCACGGAGAACTGCTTCTCCTTCCACTACTGGTCGGCTTTTTCCGTCTAAATAGAGCAGAATATCTACCAAAAGAACATCTACAACAGGCATTATTAGCGTTTTCGATCGAATATTGACAATTAATAATGTCAAGAAATTTAAAAACTTATCACTCTTATCAGTACACAGTACACGAGCTAATGACACTTATGGGATTGAGTTTGTTTTACACCAGTTTTGACGTGGCTTTGACATGGAACGATGTAAACCGAGCGCCACCTGGAAACATTGATTCCCGCGAATAAGTAAGAATATATGTCATCCTTGAATGACATTTTGAGTTTGAACCAAGATGATCTGGGTGACTAGCGTCTAGACACAGTACGTCACAAATCTTCCTGCGCGGCACGATTGGAGATGGTTCCAGTCGTAAAGCAAATGTATATAAATAGATAGTAATAAAATGATCAAACAACCTTGAAAACGTACGCTCATTATCGCAGTGGGCTGATGCGTAGTCTTATTCAATTAATGAATTCACAAAATTCCTAACATATGACAAAATTTTCAACATTTACGTTCTAGAACGGCGAAGTATATTGCGTTCTAGATCATATAAGTATTTCTCAGCTAATTGACCAGAAAGAGCCACTTCGCTAACTGACATTTCAACGACAATGTTCACATTCGATTACAGTTTTACAAAAATAGAAAAACAGATCGCAACATTGTAACATTTTCAGCTCATTCAGCACCCTTAGAGGCTGGGAACGCATTCATGAAGGTTTAAATCATTTCATCGCCAGCCACGCCAAGAATATGAAATAGTATTGGGCGACCATTGGTTGTTTGGGGCGTTCGCCATGAAATTTGTTGAAGTTATGGCTTGAAATTATATTTTCTGTCGTTTAATGAGACTTATGAATAAGATTTAGAAAAAACAGTACCTATTTGATTGCTACTATTTATTAAATATTCTAAAACGACTGAATTCTTCCCGGTCTAGTCCAAGAAATACCTACTTCCCCTACTAGGCTGGAAAAGTGCTACACTCAGGAATTTAGTAATCCTTGGACGGTTGCCGAAAAATTACTCTTTCACTCTTCATAGAAATTTCTAGGAAGTTGGTAGTCCTGCAAAATTATGAATTAGCAAAAGTAATGATTTATGCGAATATCCTTTCTGCACAATAAAAGAGACTAATTTTTCTAGACAATCAAACCTAACTTGGCCTAAATGAATCTTCATCCTAAAAAGTAAAGTAAGAGAGAACAAAGGAGACAACTTTTTCTAATAAATCTGACCTAACACGGCCTAAATTAATCTTCTTTTTATAAAGTATAGTTTTCAAAAAATTACTTGGGGCAAGAAAATAAAAAAATAACCCGAGCCCTCAGGCATCGCAGTCGGATACTTAGTTCGCTGTGCCAAGCGCTTACTTGAACATTCTTTTGTGGAAAGCGAAAAGCAAGAAAGAGTTCGGACAATCGAACGTATGGTAGTTCGAGCGTACTACCGAGCGCTCGATACATGCCGAGATCAGGCGTTCTGAATACGGTTATCTTGGGTGCTCGATACATAAAATGCTTCCCTGTCGATAACTCCGTAACTAAGTGCGCTAGACATTTTTTTCAAAGTACTAACATTATTTTGGCTCACTCTATCAGGCCTATCATTTACGACATGACCTTTCCGGACACCCTGTATACTACTATCAATGTTGGTGGCTCAATGAGAAAATCGTCTATATCTTCGTAGTGTTGGATTAATTTTTGAAATATCTAACTGCTTGTGATCCCGACCTCAGATCGCCCGTAATTTATTTTTTCTGCAACCGACACAACAGTCGTCCATTTTGATACCAAAATTAGCTCTTAAATTGACGTTTCTATTACTGACACAAAAATGGGTATGCTAGGCAACATATTTAGTTCCTAGGAGCTAAAGTTGAACTTTAGCTCCTAGGAACTAAAAAGGATCTACTGGACGTCATCAAGAATAAACAACATTGTGACGGTTGGTTATTTGTTTCCGATTTCAGCAGATTTGGCATTTCATACCGATGCTGGAGATATAAATACACCTTATTATAGTTTAGTATTGGAATTATAAACATCTCAGTTAAGTATTTTTGTTTTGATCAGGGAAGCCTTCAAGATTCAAATACTTGCTTGATCTGTATTTCATTCGTTATTTTCGGGATGGATAACTTGTTTTTGAATAATCACGGCAAGCAAAGTTTTTTGTCTCGAACAACGATATTGTTTACCTTCATTTGATTATCAAGCGAAAAACATTGTATTATGGAGAGGAATAAATAATCGCTATTATTATTATTGTTGATATCCTCACTAACCTAACATTTTCCACGTCTTGTTCCTATAGCTGGCACTGGCGCGGTATTTGCCATTAGAGCACCTGGTCCATACACAAATATGTCACTCTGTGGTTGTATTTATATTGAAACTACAATGCTTCGCTAAACGCTCCGCCTCGCAAATGCAAAATTCGCTTGTCAAACAAAGTGTCACTTTTGATCCTAATAAAACAATCTACTATTTTCTACTACTGCTATGAAAAGTAGCGCATTTTTCATAGCTAACTCAGTTTCAAAACCATGTATTGCCCATATTGTGAGAAATATTTCTCACGGCAATTTGCCAACATCACATACATTTCCATAGAGAATCAATACAAATCGACCAAAACTTGGCTGCTGATAGAAATCGCATTTTCCATCAAATATTATTTCAACAATTCATAATAAATAATATGATGTATATACCGAGATATGACGATTTTGATAAATACACCGCCAGAGACAGAGATAATGGAAGAAGCTGCGAAAGTTGGATTTGTTTCCGGAAATTTTAAGAAAAAAGTATGAATCGGCATGAACGAAAAATTTATGGAATCTAAAAAAATACAGGAATAAAATCTTTTTCGGAAATTGTCCTTTTTTGAAATACTTCGAGGAACTAGGAAAGGCGTCTACTCTTTGGTCACAATATTCAATGTGGCATAGTGCCACATTATAAAATGAAAACCAATAAGCTACATTACTCGGATTCTTTGAATAAGTGCAGTTGTAGAAAAAGTATAGTATAGTAAAGTATAGTATTTCTCACTCGTGTGTTTGCATCACTCGCCCCTCAGGCTCGTGCCACAAACTTTCACACTCGTGAGAGAAGTTGAACTTTTCCCACTTGTTGCACAATATACTATTTCCTTTCATCTTTGTTATATTCTCTTCCTTTTCCAATGGTTTTCATCCTACTTTTTTTTTTCATTTTTCAACTTTTCAAAGGCTTCAGCACTGTTCTATTTTTGTGCTGTTTGGCGTATATTTTACAATGAAATCTCTAACTCTTGTCAAACAATACCCTTCTTTTCCAGATAACTTGCCAGCGGTCGACTTCAAAGGCGAGGCGATCACCTTCAAAACGACCACGGCGGCCGTGATAAACACCCTCGAGCACTGCGCCGAGCTGGTCAACCAAAGAGAGGAGTCGTGGAGGAATCGCCTCGATAGGGAGTCGGACAGGCGCAAGCGGGCCGAAACTTTGGCGCATTCGTATTTCGCGCAGATACAGAAGATCAGGAACGTGCATCCTGGGCCGGATCTTGAGGTGAGTCGTCTTCCTTTGCTTAATAACCCAGATATGCCTAATGTCCTTCTGAAAGGACACTTCGCACCCCCGTTTTAAAAGTGACACAACTGAAAGAACGCGGATTTCAAGATTTTTATGGCATTGCGTAGAAAATTGTCTGAATTTCAATCTCTTAAAGTGTCACAATTGTAGTTCTAACAGGTTTTACGAGATAGCGCCAGTGTCACTATTACATCATCTCAAATTCCCTATGCATGAATTCTAAAAACTCTATTATCTCGAATTATGTCATTATTATTGTTATAACGGTAAGTTGAAATTTTATCCTGAAAATCAATGGTATATTTTGAGTTGAGTCAATTTTACTGAATTTAATAGTAGATTGTTTTATTAGGATCAAAAGTGACACTTTGTTTGCGAAGCGAAGCGTCTAGCGATGCCGAGCGAAAGCAAAATTTGCGAGTCAAACAAAGTCACTTTTGATCCGAATGAAACATGCTATTCTTTCTGCAACCGAAAGAATGAACTAAAGTAAATATGTGAAGTAACCACCAATGTGACTCACTTGACAGATTATTATAATATACCTATATCAAGGAGCCAGGTAGCCGTCCGGACAGAGTGTCAATATTCTAATCCCCCTTCGCTTGCCGGTCGTGGGTTCGATTCCCAGCGACTGCAGAAATTTTTCTGATGGCCCAAGAAGGTGTTTGGGATCACAAGTTAAAAGGTGAGGCCCCCATCATTGCTTGCTCGCACAAGACTCTGGAAGACTCCTGAGCAACGAGATATAGAAGCAAGACCTCAGAATACTTCACTTTGTTACAATTTGTGTTGACATGCATCATGTCATTCATGTCATCAGATACTACAGGCACGAATTCAATAAAAACTATACCCGAAACGTGGATGCCGTGCCATATGTATGCAATGCAACAAATAATCCATGTGGTGAGAATATTATACCTGCATTTACAGATCAGGTTTATTCAATTTTCAAGGATGTTCGAATTGTAGTTCCAATATAAATACAACCACAGATAGTGACCCATTTGTGTATGGACCAGGTGTCAGCCCTAATAGCAAATACCGCGCCAGTGCCAGGTATAGGAAAAAGACGTGGAAAATGTTAGGTTAGTGAGCATATGAACAATAATAATAGGAATTTTACTTGATCGCATTTGGTTAAGACCTTTTATAATACAAAAGGCGTGACAATTGCATAGGGGGCAGGACTGGTCTAGATAATATTGTCGCAACTCAGATGTTGACCCTCCTATAGGTCGTAACTTAGCTACTCGCTTAGCTATTTGACGAGAGGTTTTGATCATTTCACCACCTAACCACATTCATCCCCAAATAAGGACAGTTTTCATATAAAATTTGACATTTATTGATTAAATGGAAAAATCGTGGATAATTGCTTGCCACTTGGCAGGTTAGCAAAGAAAAAATAACATAATGGCTTGCCAAATGACACAACGCAAAACAACACTTGGAAAAACAGTACTTACATTACAACGTCCAACATGGGGTTGACCAGCAGGATTGAAGTCGGGGAGACGGCGAACATTTTCAATTGATAATTACTAATGACTTGTATTGATAATGAATGATACCTTATCGACTCGGGTACTATTTATATTCGGAATCGATATATTCGATCGTTCGCAATTCTCCGCAAAGGGAATGGCCGTTACCTTTCGATATTGTTTACCTAGGTATTATCGCACGGTAAGCGTTTTTTTGCAAATTTTAAAGGAACTGACGTCTATGAACTCCGCTGACCTGATCGAAACTACAATGTACTGGATGTTTTAATTTGGAAAAGTCAATTTATGATAAAATATCTTGTAATGAACGAGAGTTTGAGTTATGTTAATTCATAGGCATTTGTACTTCTTGACAATATCCACTCAAGAAGAGGATTATAAAATGATCGAAAAAAAGTTAAGGATATTGTCTTTCTCCTATAAAGCCATTTTTCTAAAAAAATGTATAGCTATTAATATCTAGGTATGTCGTTTGCGCTTTAAAATATCTCAAATTTTTCTTGATCTTTTTATATATAATATCGAATAAATGACAGATTTCAGCCTAGCTTTGTAGCTTTTTGGGAACAAATCTGCTCTGTTCGACATGAAAATGTTATTGCAAATTACTGTTTCCATTCCGATTTCTGACACTTTCTAGTGATAGAAGTTGATAGAAAAAATGTGTTAGTTACCGGACGTTTTTCATTTGATCTTGAATTTACTATTTACATATCAGATAACAAATGAACAGGAAGCAATGTGCTTGCATTCTCCTGACATTTCTATTTTGATGGTTGTCTCCTCTTCCTAAAATTTTAATATCATTCCACTTCGCCATATGTTGTCCATTTTCAGTTAGGATATGTTCATGAAATTTGATTTGTTGATTTGAGGACATGTCTTTTCTTTGTATTATTTTTACTGAAAGAGGTTTCAATACTATGGGGTATTTTATTTGTTTTATCAAATGAGTTTCTTGAATAGATGAGTTGAGGAACATTTTTGATGTGGTGGAATTTCTTATTGAAAATTTCTTGGTCAAAGAAGGAGGTCACTATTTGTGAAGACATAATAGCTACAATAATTCATGTTTATATTTCTGCCTACGTAGGCGATTATTCGGTAGCTTCGTTTATATCAAGTGTCAATAAAAATTTCTTAATATCATTATTTAGGCTTATTCTGGGGACCCTTAGTTATTTCTGAATATTGACGATATCCAATAATTAGTTTTTAACTAATTCAAACATTGTCATATTATTTGTAGGTATGTATTTTTCCTGACAGTAACGAAAAACTTCATTATACTTATGCAGACGGTCTTTAATATAATGACGTAAGCTGTAACTGCGTCATTTCTCATGTGATTTCGAAAAATGAAATGAACGAATCCAATGATTGAATAACACCGTAAGCTTTTGCGCATATCAATTATACCATCACATTTGTGGATAAGTATGGCAGACTCCTACTTCTTTTTTCATTGGACTTCCTTGAAATTTGTTGTCTTCTTTCATTGAAAACAATGATTTCCTCGAACTACAACTGAATGTCGGTACCATGAACACAAAAAAATAATATTGGATAAAAAACCAAATAACAAACAAAAACAAAGAAATAAACGAGTGTTCCAAGGTAACTTGATTATAGTCGTCCTGGGAAAAATCGAATCAAAAGTCCTCTGTACTGTGAAAAAAACGAGAAAGTTTATCCATTATCATCAAAAAACCTACTTTTTGTGACATATGGTCACTTTTTTGGTTTTTGTCAAAACCGATTTGCCAATTTGTACATTTTCAGAAGCAATGTGTAAACATTTTCAAAATCGAACCATTTTTTTTTCATTTATTTTGTTATTAGGAATGTATATGACCAGCCTTTGAAATTCTGTGGTGTTTGTTTGAAATGACACAATTTTGACATATTCAAACAATCTGATGTAATGTATGTCAAAATATATTTTGTTGGTGCTATAAAACCGGAATTACAAATCCCTATTAGTGACACAACTCTCAAATTATCGTGTTATGTTTCGTTTTCATGACTTTTCATGTAAATTATTGTAAATTGTGAGTAAACTCGGAAGGACAGATACTAAATATGAAGGTGAGTTTCTATTTTTTTTTTTATAAATGTCCTAACCGTTTTAGTTATCATCGATAATATATGGTATTATTTTTATGTTTTCTATGATGATGTTCATTTGTTAGCCAGTATTACTTATTTGTTGTATTATTCTCAGAATAGAGTTTCCACGCAATATCAAATATTCAAACCTTTTTGTTTTGATGATGATTTCCATGAAATATCCGAGTGGATACTATCAAGTATTTTAATTTTCGGAAAATTTCGAACATGAAAAAGTTAACTCAATATGGCTGGAAAACGTGTAATTTGTTGTTCCTGAAAATCACTAGGAAGTGTATAGGCTGCTGACCAATCGGCAGACGATACTTTTTGTTTGGACTGCCGACCTATTTTCAACAAACCATAAGAAACTAACGATTTTTATGAGAAAAATGAGATACACTCACCCCAACACACTAACTAATCTATTGGTGGAACAAAAATCTGATCACAAAAATCTTGTGATCCAACAATAGAGGAACAATTATTATCTCATTAGAAAAAAAACGAGATATGAAAATAGTTATTTATACACCAAGGTAGTAAAGAATATCATTATTACCCAGGGACCAAGATTAAATCCCGAGGCTTCAGCCGAGGGGTATAAGATCCCGTGGTAACAATATTCTCTACTACCAAGGTGTATATAATAGTATATTGTGCAACAAGTGGGAAAAGTTCAACTTTTCCCCACATGTTGCACACTATACTTTTTCTACAACTGCACTTATTCAAAGAATCCGAGTAATGTAACTTATTGGTATTTATTTCATAATGTGTCACTATGCCACATTGTATATTGTGACCAAAGAGTAAACGCCTTTTCTAGTTCCTCAAAGTATTTCAAAAAAGTACACTCCGAAAAAGATTTCATTTCTGTATTTTTTTAGATTCCATACATTCTTCGTTTATGCCAATTCATACTTTCTTCTTGACATTTCCGGAAACAAATCCAAATTTCGCAGCTTCTTCCATTATCTCTGTCTCTGGCGGTGTATTTATCAATATCGTCACATCTCGGTATATACATCATATTATTTATTATGAATTGTTGGAATAATATATGATGGAAAATGCGATTTCTATCAAAAGCACTAATGAGAACTACCCTAAAGAATTTATAAAACTTCTCCTGTCGATTTTTGTTGATTCTCTATGGAAAGGTATGTGGTGTTGGCAAAGGGCCGTGAGAAAAAATATTTCTCACAGTATGGGCAATACATGGTTTTGAAACTAAATAAGCTATGAGAAATGCGCTACTTTTCATAGCAGTTGTCGAATTTTTTTTTTTTTACCTCTAGCAATACATTTCAATCATTTTAGTTTTGTGAAACTACAGTATGAACCTATTATCAC